AACCCCAAAAATCTCAGAGTTTGAATGCACCAGATACCGGAGTATCCCAAATTCAGCAATTGGTGTCCCCAGGCAAGAGACCCTAACGTCTGAAATTTCTCAAGACTGCAGCTCTAAACACAATTTACGAAGCAGAAGCGACACGGCGCGCGGTTTGTCATTAGCTCAGGCTTTGCTGAGCTGATTTACCCTACCACCACTGTTAGCTGCACACTTCTACACGACCTAACATGAGAACAAATACGGCTTTAGAAGGCACATAAAAGAAGGAACACTGAAGACAAGTCATTTGTGTTTATCTGCAGTTATTACAGTTAATGTAGGTGACAGCTGACAAAAAGATCTTCCCCCTGAATTCTATGCACCCGTATGGCTGCACAGGTGGGTTTCACGCTGAGGTAGCACAGCCAGCCCATCTCGAGAAACCCGAGGAGTTCTGTCCCTTTCTCTGCCACCCTGTGACTTTAGGTTCGTAAGGCGGCTTCTCTGGAGCAAGACAGATTTATAATAGCTTCACTAATACTGCACAATACACTGCCACGAGTTGAAAATTAATGTTATGCTTATCCACTGGAAAACTAAGCTTATGTTTATCCACTGAAAAACCTGGCTCCAAGTTTACGCCTATTAGTCAATAAGTAAAACAGTAACGGAGTCGAAAGGCAAGGCAGGAAAAGAAAAGGTCAGGGACCAGTGAACACAAACCTCAGCATAGAGAGTAAAGTAACCCTCTGTGCCGTCCTGTCCTGTGATCACTCCGTGACGGCGATTAATGCCAGCTATCACCGCTCCTTGGAATTCAGTGGGTGCCATCACCTCCACCGCCATGATGGGTTCGAGTATACGCACGGCAGCGTTTTCCATAGCTGCAGAAAACAACTTCACTAAATAATCAAACATCAAAGAACAAGCCTGGTATAATTCAAGATACGCCTATGCATAGCAGAGAAGTGTTTTATGGTTAATGGTAAGTGTTTCTTACATCAGTGGGGGAAAACAATAATGTGGAATTCCAGCTCCCCTGCCTTTTATTCCAAGTCCGTAACGCTGGGAGGCACACAGTTTGATAGAGTGTTCTTTTCATACCTGTGTAAGGACGAAGCTGTTGGTGTTTCTTTACTCTATTCTAGGAAAACAGAATTTCCTTCATACAACTAAAGGAATTATTGTGCCTCCCTCAAAATTTCTATAAACTCTTGCATATATTCTGCTCTACACAACCGGCCAAACTCTGAATGTATGTATGGATACGCCAGGCAACAAACGAACCTATAGAAAGGAGGTAGTTAAATTTAGCTCCAACAATAAAGAAGCCAGCAGGACTATGCGTTCAAACGACTAGCTTTATACCTTGCTTCAGGGCTCCTTCTCCCGCTCTGATGAAAGAGATTTCATTGGAGTCCACCATGTGATGTGCACCATCTTCTAGGACGAAACGGACTCCAGATATCCTGTGCCCTGACACTAGACCTTTTTCACATGCTTCTCGGAACCCCTGTCAAATAACGTCTCAAAGTTAGCAGTCTGTAGACCAAAAGGAAGCTTAAAAAAAGACTAGCATTAACATCAGCCTATAAAAGACGTTAAACCAAAAAAACCAAAACAAAAATAACAAAAAACCCAAAACCTTTCACAATTTGTAACAGCAATCCCATATCTCCCCAAGGGACCTTCTTGCTTGGTAAGATAATGGAAGAAAATAACAGTGGGAAAAGCTTTTGATTCCCAAGCGTTTGAAAACTTTGTACTGTCATTCTTGGCACCTTGGTTTGATACTGGTATTTTTTAAGAAGAGAAATCATGTAACAAGCTAAGGACAAGAAACAAATGTATGCAGGATTTTGCTTTCTTAAGGGACTGTATGATCAAAAACTGAAAGAATGCTCTATGTGGAAAGAACTACTCTAACCACTTGCCTGAAGAACAAGATTCTTTTAAGACGGCGTGCTTTTTGCAGGATTTGGCAAAAATCTTTTAAGTGTTGCATCATGGAATAATGAAGGAATGATTGCAGGTTCATCCATTATTATAGGAATTCAAAGATCATGGTAGGTACTACTTAAAGCACGTGATAAATTATACAGTTACAGAGAGACAGACCCAGAGGAATCCCACAGAAGAGATTAAAAAGAAAGAATATTTGGTAATTCATGCAGGAAGCCCAGCTTAATTACAGTTTCCTACATAACTGGCCTCAAAGAAGTCACAAAAAGTATTACGTATTTTGGGGTTAGAGATGAGAATCGCGTGGCCACAATCAAAAGCAGAAGAGGGCCATTAAAAAGCAGACTCAATAGGAGGAGGCTTGTTTGACTGTAGGAAAGGAAAGCCTACCTTTTGCACCGCGGCACTGCTCTGGAAACAGAGCAAGCACACACTACCAAAGAAAACAAACAGCAGCTTCTAAATTAAGTGGAAAACCTAGGAATGTAAGATATTAAGCAAAGCCATGCAAATTTGATTCTGCTTTCACTGAAGTAATGGGAGAAGCCTCCTTGCCCGGGGCAAGACAGTCGCAGTGAATGCGGACAGCACAGCAGGAAAACAACAAGAATCAGTAGTTCTTGTATCATACACACACACACACAAAACGCTTTGTACCTTTTCAACAGCGGGCACGAATTGTTTTGGAATATTTGTGCCAACGGTTCTGTCGTCAAACTCTAATTTTGTGTAGTCCTCCGGATCCAGGGGCTCAAGAACGCCTATCACTTTGCCATACTGGCCTGCTCCGCCCGTCTGTTTCTTGTGTGTATATTCAAACCTAAGAACAAACAAATCCCCCCAGAATACCACGTTACTCATTACACAAACCATGCTCCAATCACAGTCTTCTAAGGAAAAAGTTCCCATTCTGCATTTTGCATTATTCCATTTGGTTACGTGTAACCAAAACAGCTAAATGGCATAACAGGGGCTGAAACAACCACTGAGGATATTTAATGCCCAAAGAGGGAGCACCGCGGTTCTTCATCTTGCAAGCAGGAAGCTGACAGGCTGTGAGGAGTTGTAACCTCTCAAAAAACAACTGCAAAACCAAGATTCTTCCGTGTGCGGTAAGCAACGCTAATAAAGCCTGCTTACCTTTAGGCTTGTGCTTTTTGTTGACTGAATAACCAGGTTTTTTTGTTGTTTCTGCACAGACCTACAGTTTCCACCCACAAAGTCCTCTGATGTTGAGTCCCCATCCCTGGAGGTATTTAAAAGACGGGTAGATGAGGTGCTCAGGGTCGCGGTTTAGCGGTGGCCTTGGCAGCGCGAGGTTAAGGGTTGGAGAGGATGACCTTAAAGGTCTTTTCCGACCCGAACTATGGTTCTGTTAAGCGCGGACACTGAACACGGGGATAATTAAGGGGAAAGCCTGTGAACGGGAACTGGCCGGGGCTCAGGCTGCGGGGTTCGCGGTGCCCGGGCGGTGGGACGGCCCCCGCCCGG